CCCCCCCCCCCTCAGTTCAGAAAGCAGAGAAAAAAATCAGTTGTCAAGATGTATATCTCATATAACAACTCTGTGGTATAATGTAATGTGTTTGAAATTATTTTTGTTGCGATTTTTTAAGAGTGATTTGTGGTGGATGGGGCTATCACCTTGATGGAAGAGTGGGATTTGTGGCTATCCTCAGGCAATATGCTAAAGCAAATTCCACCCAAAATTAACATTTTATGGTTTGCCTATCATGTGAATCTTGCTAGTGTGGTTTGTAAACTGCATTTTTTGATTAATTTTGGAATCCATTCAGCTGTGAGCGGTTTAAAATAGGGTTTAGGGGATCTAGCCTCTGAACTAATATAGAGGAGAGTCTTCTTGACATGGGAGTCTAACCCCACTTCCTGGTTTACTTAAATCACTTAAAAGGGTTTACACATTGCTTTGAATGCTTAAATTATGACTTATGGAACAAGACATAATCGTGTCTTGAGTCAGAAACCAACAAACATGTAATGATCTTATCTAGGTTGTCATATAGCACAAAGAATACTGAAATATATGCTCAGTTCAATTTTATTTGTGGTAGAGTAGTGATCAATTTCAAAAAAAAAATTCACTCTTAAGCAAAACATTGTAATTTATTTTTATTTGCTAAACAAATATATATTCAATTTGCAAGGTTTTCTGCTTCAAAGACTGCATTTATTAATAATTTTCAGTTACAACGCTGTTTTTGAAAATATGGCCATTAGTGTCTGTTAAAAAGATGATGGTGAACTTAACCATAGTCTGTTTAGTTAAATTGACTTTATGGAGATGAAGTATCAAACTGTAAACTAACAATCAGGGACTTTGCATAGCACATTGGCTAAGTATGATTGGCTGATTTTAGTTTAAGGTAAAGGGTGAGCAAAGCCAACATAAAGCAAATGCATTTGCAAACGCAATCTTGATTTCTGGCATCTGCCTACACAATTCTGTGAAATTTCCCAGGCAAGGTTTTTCTGCTGGGATTTCAACTGGATTATCCCTGGCACATCATTAATAACTAGACTACTCACTGCAGGTCCTTGCTTTTCTCTAGAAGGTTGTTTGGTATCTTCTGGTGGATGTAATTCAAATGTTAAAAGCAGCGGTGGGATCCTACCGGTTTAACAAGTGTGTGCACTTTGCCACATGACTCAGCTGAGAAGATAAAAGTAGGTCAAGCGCAGGAGTGGGTGGGCGGGCCCACTTGATTGTGGGAGTGAACATGTTCGCTCCGAGCTGATTGTCAGAGCTACCTGTTAGGGCAAACCTGTACAAAACAGTAGAATTCCACAAGAATGCCAGGTAGGGTTCATATGCCAAGCTAGACACCATTTTACTTTTTCCTTCAACTGTTTTTAAATTGAAAGAATTTTTAAATAAAGAAGTCAGAAGAGTATTGCAAGAGGAAGTATATTTGAACATGTTAGCAGCATCTCTTTTGGACATTAAAGCAATTTCCAGCGTAATATAGTACAAGGTGGACTTCTAATTACACAATTACTGTTCAGAGTTTATTTAACAATATTGGTGGCCATTTTTTAAAATAAATATGGAATGGAATATAAAAGGTGCTTTTAAAAACTCTAAAATGAAATGTTGGTAAAATATCTAGTCAGAAAGATAAAATGTAAAATTAGTCTTTTGTTTGGCATGATGGTTAATGTTTAAATTGATTAAAATAAGCTTCCCAACGTATTTAGCAAAATATTTGATAAGGTATGGGAACTCTTGCATATTTCTTTTATTTGTTCTGACTCTATTGCTTGACATTTCTCCAGAGATGGAAACCAAAGATTACCTTCGTCAGGACTGCCAGATGGTCTATGGCATTCCTATGGTCTATGCATTCTCCTTTGACTGGGATAGAATTGAAAATTTCCAGAGTAGGCCAGATGACATTGTGATAGCCACATATCCCAAATCTGGTGAGTTTTCAGTATTGGAAAAGGGCAACCTGATAATTTTTCATCTTTTAATGATGCCTTCATTTTATGAAGTTTTTTTTTTCTTAGAATGCAGATTTCAATACAACTTCTGTGCTCTTTGTTTCCAGGCACAACGTGGTTAAGTGAAATTGTGGATATGATTCTGAATAACGGTGATGTTGATAAATGCAAAAGAGATGCTATTTTCAATAAAGTGCCTATGTTAGAATTTGTTGTCCCAGGGAAGATGCCAGCTGGTAAGCTTTGATCTTAATTCTTTTAAAAAATGTTTTATTTGCGTTGTGTATCTCAAAATCCACACTATTTCTAATCCTTAACATTTTAAATTCACAATATACTTTAACACACTATTAATGTTAATAATACAATTAAATTACCGAATCCTAAATTTCCATCTACTGATCTTAATCTTATTTTTAGTTATAATAAGTTGTATGTATGTATATGTATATATGTATGTGTGTATGTGTATGTGTATTGTATGTATGTATATATGTATTTATGTATACACACACATACATACACACATACATACACACATACATACACACACATATACATCAATGTTCCCTCTAATTTTTTTTCAGTGTGAGCGGAAAAATATAGTGTTTGAGCAACACATTTTCATACCTGAGCACCTGGATTTTTTTCATAGATGTCACCCAAGACAACGAACTTAGTGTTATTTGAAACTCAATTCTACCATGTAAATATCCATTAAGTAACGAAATCTCCCTATACAGGTAGTCCTCAATCTACAACCATAATTGAGCCCAAAGTTTCTATTACTAAGTGAGACATTTGTTAAGTGAGTTTTGCCCCATTTTACAACCTTTCTTGCTACAGTTAAGTGAATCACTGCGGTTAAATCAGTAACCTGGTTGTTAAGTCAGTCTGACTTTCCTACTGACTTTCCTTGGCAGATGGTTGCAAAAGGTGACCCCAGGACACTGCAACCATCATAAATATGAGGCAGTTGCCAAAGATCCAAATTTTGATCATATGACCATGGGGATGCTGCAATGATCATGTGTGAAGAACAGCTGTAATTCACTTTTTTCAGTGCTGATGTAGCTTTAGTCATTAAGTGAACTGTTGTAAGTTGAGGACTATACTTTCCCCCTTACTATCCAATAGTCTGCAGTGATATTAGCAAGTTATGAATAAATTACCAACTGATATAGATTAGCAATTGGAGCACTTAAAGAAGCAAACAAAGAGGGGAGAGGAAGGAAGGGAGAAAGGAAAGAAGGGAGAGGGAGAGAGAAACAGAGACAGAGGGAGAGACAAAAAAGGAAAGAGGAGAAAGAGAAAAAGAAAGGGGAGAGGAGGGTGGGAGGATAAGAAAAAGGGGCAGAAAAAAGAAAGAGAGAGAAAGAGGAACGGAAGAAAGAAGGAAGGAAAGAAAAAAGGAAGAAAGAAAAGAGGAGAGAAGAGAAGGAATAGAGGCCAAAAAAAGCAAAAAAGGAAAAGTATTAAACTCCTGCTTAATAAAATTTTATCAATCCCATAATTATACCTCCAAGACCCCTAAATTTATGATCTTTAAAATTCTTTAGTAGTTTTCTGATTATATATCTTCCCAATTGTCCAAATTTTAAAGTCTTATTAACTTTCCTTCTTTTCTCTTTTATTCTATCACCTTTTGTCTTTTGTCTTGTAGAATGTTCTGTTGAATAACATTAATAGTCCAAATCCAAATTAATCCATTAGATTTCTCCAATCTTTCAAATCCATAATCCAATAGCCAATTTTAATAAAGTTTAGTTATTTGCAAATTAGTTCCTTTTAAAAATCTTCAGGAGGGAAAAAATCTCATTAAATATTCTTAAATTATCCAAGTCATCTTCTAACATAAAGTCAAGGTCAGGCAGTCTTCTAGATGTTATTACTTTTATTCTGTCTATTAGACTTTATGTGTATTAAGTTCACTTTCAATGAGTATGCTGCGGCTATAATGCTGTAGTACTTCTCTTTTTCCAGTAGATGGCTCGCTTATTCCCAAATCCAATGTTGGTCTGTTAAAAACAGCTGATTAGCCAATAAATCCAGGGATTGAAAAATACAAATAGACAAAACAGCAAAAATTTTCAGGAACCGAACTAGTAGTAATGTCAGCAGGAACCCACCCCTGGGCTGGGACGTTGTCTTTTAAAATTCCTGTACTTAAATCAGGTCTTTATAATAAAAGTTGATAATTATCTCACCCAGTTTCAATGCTCTTTCCAGAAACCACTCCAGCACAAAATGGTCATCGTCCCTGCTGCCATTCGGGAGAGCTTGCTTCAGACCTAACAAGGAAATTGCAAGTTCCTCATGGTCAGTGAAGTGCCTCTCCTTCCTTCACTGCCCCTACAAGGTGGTTATGACCCCGTAGGGTCTCCCAACAGTGGTTACCAGCTGGATTTTATGGGGCTCAGTAGAGCCGGCTGTTTTCCAGCCATTCTCGCTGTGACATCAACCGGAAGCCTGATCCTATTTATTCATGTGTATTTTAAAGACACTAGAAAAGATCAAGATCACTAATGCAGAGCAGCACTGCATACTTAGAAGAGAAAGGTCCACACTGATAAATTTAAAACCTTCACAGGTCACTAGGTCAATTGAACTGGCAACAGTGGGCCTGAAAGATGTGGAAGATGTTTGGCAGTGCATCTTTTGGTGCCAGCGGCAACAGTGAATTTACTGACTTTTTCAGAAATGCTTGGGGAGAGAGGTACAAGATGCATGACAGACCACATATTTGTGCCACCCTGAGGTAGACACTTGTTTTCTTTGACAAACATAGAAGAATGAATAGTGTACAAGTAGTTTATATCCTCCACTGCTCACAAGACTTCTCCAGAACTTGTTAACTTGTTTGGAGGGGAGTTTATCCATAAATACCTACAGATATACTAAGTTTCTCACAAATTCTTCAGTAGTTAGGAAACATCAGGCAACACTGAATACAATGTATTAGGAATGTCTGTGGATCAATTTGAGAAAAGGTTCCTAAAACTGGAAGGAAAATGGCCTTAAATATTGCTTTTATTAAAGGTTACCCAAAAGTGAACATGAAGATATTCAAAAACTGCTGGTTAGGTAGATTTGTAGAGTTCAGTTTTGTAAAAATCAGCAACAACGGATATTGGGAAGATGCCGAAAATGCTGCCACAGATAGGCTTCATTAGAAGAAGCTTACTGCCCTAAATGATGAGGATGAAAAATCAATAATCATTAATCTTTTTAGTCACATTATATTTCTCAGTGTTTATCAGTGATCTTTTAGCCTTTTTTAAAATCTAAATAAGTACTAAATAGTTCCAGGAGTCAAAACTGACTTGAATACCCCCCACCCCCATCCACACACATACTGAATGTAATCAATTTAATGGGTGTCTCCTGCATTTCCAATTATTTTCTATACCGGCAATGTCTATATGATATTCTTTACCATTTCATTGTTTTGCTTGCAAGGCACAGAACAGTTAACTCATATGCCCTCTCCTCGCATGGTGAAGACCCACCTTCCAGTAAACCTACTTCCCAAGTCTTTCTGGGAGAAAGATTGCAAGGTAAATACATTTGTCAGCAGAATACATTGTGAAAGGGTTTGGCTGGCAGAGTGCTTCTAATCCAAAACAACTCAAATCCTTTAGAAGTAAATTTCCTTCAAATACTGTCATCAGATTTGCTAATTACTCACATCTTTTTATAAGTGTAGCTCTCCAAGAATAAATATTGTTTGGAGGATGTCAGTCGCCAATCCATACCTAGGTCATTGATTCTTCAACTCTTAAAGTCATTTTGTTCTTTAGGTGGGAAGTCTTGCTAAAATTACAGATTCTTCCATCAGAGGCAGTGGTGGACTCCTGCCAGGTCTCCCAAACTGTATGTTAATTTTCAGAGTAGTTCAGAGAACTGGTTGTTGGAAGAAATCATTTCCTACTTTACAAGGCTAATTCTGCAAGGAAACAGGAAGGAAAGATTCTAGTGTGCATGTATTTCTAGCCTAATCCTTATCTTAATTGCCGTCCCTGCTGCTTTAAGAGTTTTCAGAAACTGCCTCTTGGTTCTTGGCAGTACACCCAGACTTTCTGTCTGTAGCTGAACTTCTCCGGTCCCCACCCACTCGCCAGAGTTTTTTGTGGTATTTTTATTTCTGGGCTTGAACAGCTATTTACAGAAGGGTTGGCATAGCCATAGAAGAAATGGCTGAGAGGCAGGATGCAAGCTTGGCATTCCGTCTGATTTTTTTTACTGCCTTTCTGGGGGCATGTGATTTTTTTCTTAAATCTGGATGATTACCTTAGGATATCTTGTGAGGTGAGTGAGACCAGCTGGTATCTTTAAGTAGTGCAAATGGATCTAAGGATTGCTTTTCCTGTTTTGTAAATTTACTGAGCATAGGAGTCTCTTGTCTGTGGGGATTCTTTAGTCATCCAGGTTATGGTTATCCCAAATGTGCTTTTTTCAAGAGGCAACTGGACTTTCTTGGTTTCTAGAAAGTCCAGTTGCCTCTTGAAAAAGAACCTTTGGTACAGGAGTCTCTTGCATTGCTTCAGAGTAACCAAGCTACATGATTGCTCACTGATAATAAGTGGATCCTCCTTCCAATTTGTTATAGTTTGCTCTCATGATAATATGGCATAGTAACATGGCATCAATTGTAGTTAGTACCTATCCCTCCAGAAGCAGTGGTGGGTTGCAGGTGGTACACCCGGTACGGGTACTGTTCCAGTATGGTGCTCCGGAGGGCCACCCGCCCGCCCGCTATCCTTACCAGTATTTGAGCTGTTCAGGGCTTCTGCTCACAGAACATACCGTGCCAGCATGATGTATGTATGCATGTGCGCGCATGCTGCGCGCGTTCATGTAGTGGATGCCCAGCCCTGTTGCACTGTACCGGTTGCAACAGGATCTGGAACTCACCACTGCCTAGAAGAATGAAATATTTTGAGAAGTATTAAAAAGAAATGGAGAAATGTTTTCTTAGAGGGAAAAACAGCCCTCACCTTCCTTAATAGCTCACAGCAGAAGTCACCACTTAAGAGATAAAGAGATAGATAACTATATTCATAGGCAAAAATTTCCTGCAGCAAGGTCTGAACAAAGACAGAATGGAATTCGCCCTCTCAAGATGTTAATTTGTTAATTTGTCTCTTTAGCTCAGTAGTGAAGACCTACCAATAGAATTTATGCATTATATGTATTTTTTCTTTGCTCCAATTAAGATGATCTATATGGCTCGAAATGCAAAGGATGTTGCTGTCTCCTTTTATCACTTTGACTTGATGAATAAGCTACATCCAGATCCTGGCTCTTGGAATGACTACCTGGAAAAATTCATGATAGGAAGAAGTAAGTTTTTAGGAAACAAAGTGATAAGACTGAGTGAGTTTGCTGCTCACTTACTGAAGAAAAACCCAGGTCAGATTATGAACATAATGTTTTTCTTTTTTAGTAAAAAAGAAGGGAAAAAAAGAAAATGGGTGTTGGCTTACTTGAGATGCCCTTTCTCTGGACCGGTGGAGACAGCATCAATCATGAGTTATACTCATACACTAACCAATAGGACTGAATCTGATATCTTTAAGACATGCCTTCTCCTGCAGCTATATCCATCTTTTTGAACATGAATATGATAGCAGACTGACGTGTGAAAACTAAATCATATGAGGCAATCTCTCCCACTGACACCGGACCAGGCAAATAAAATGAACATTAGGGCGGGGCTGGATGCTGTCTCCACCTGTCCAGAGAAAGGATGTCTCAGGTAAGAAAACACCCATTCTCCAAGATTGGTGGAGACAGCATCTATGCATTGGACATACCAAAGCTGTCCCCTGATTATGGGTGGAATGATGATTGGGCCAGATGGGTGGCTGTCTGCAACCCGTTGTAACATCCGCCTTCCAAAAGTAGCCTGGGTCGATGCATACTGGTCAATTTTGCAATGCCGAATAAAGGGAGAAGGTGAAGACAATGTGGCAGCTGTGTACACCTCTTCCAAAGAGGCCTGGGTATCCCAGGCTGCAGACATTGTTGCACTTTGAGTAGAATGAGCACTGATCTGTGCCGGAGAAACTTGCGATTGTAAGGTGTAAGCTTACAGTAGCTACATGCCTGGATCCAGTGCCCCAGCATTGATGATAATGCTTTGCACTCTAATGACTCTGGATGGAATATGGTAAACAACACCTCCGTACGCCAAAAAGGTGAGGTTCTGCAAATGTAGATATGTAGAACTCTACACACATCAAGAGTGTGCCACTTGCGTTCCCTGGGGTGAGTCGGGTCTGGACAGAAATTGGGCAATACCAGTTCTTGAGAGTGATGAAAAATGGAGGTCACCTTTGGAATGAACGACGGGTAGAGTCTCAGGACTACCTTATCTGTATGAAAAATACATAAGTCCTGTCTGATGGACAGGGCTGCCAAATCCGACACCCTCCTGGCCGAAGTGGTGGTTATCAAGAAGACCACCTTAAATGACAGGTAACATAGTGATGCCTGTCTCAGAGGCTCAAAGGGAAGTTCCATGAGTGCTTGGAGTACCATGAGGATATCCCATATTGGGGGAAAAAATGCACCACAGGTGGGCAAAGATTGGTGGCGCCCCTCAGAAACCTCCTGATGAGGTGGTTGTGCACCAATGACATGGTAGCCCCACAGCATAGGACTGAAGAAAGAGCCGCCACCTGTCTCCTGAATGTATTGAGTGCGAGCCCAGAATCCAGACTCCCTTGGAGGAACTCCAAGTTATGCAGCATAAGGGCCTGAAATGGAAGGATGGCCCTGGGGTGGCACCAATGACAGAAGGCTTTCCAGTGGCGTTGTATATACGATTGGTAGAATCTCATCTGGATGGTTCTGATGACTGTGGAGGACAGAGCTATAGAGGTCATGATGTGCCACTCAGCCTCCAGGCAGTCATCTTAATCCACTGGGGATCCTGATGAGAGAAAGACCCTTGTATCAGAGACCTGGACTGAGCTGGGGGATGCCACGAGGGAGCAACTGAGAGAGCCTTGAGATCTATGAACCAGGGGTGGCATGGCCAAGAGGGTGCTAAGAGAATTAATTCTGCCTGCTCCTTCAACATTTTCTGAATAACCCACTGAATGAGGGGAAGGGGAAGGAAGGCATAAAGAAGGCCGTCGGGCCAAGGATATCAAAGTGCATCTACTCCCTCTACACCCGGAGTCACATACCTTGCGAAGAATTGTGGGACCTTTCTGTTGGTCCTGGTGGTGAAGAGGTCGATCATGGGCAAGCCAAAGTGGCTGACCAGTGCCTGGAACAATTGTGGATGGAGAGTCCATTCTGACTGATCCAGATGAGTCTGGTTGAGCCAATCAGTTGTTTGCCTTGCTAGAGATGTGTTCAGCCAGAGTGAGAGGCGGTTCTTCTATGCCCAGCGACCCGGGCGCATGGCTTACTGCATCAGACGCTTGGAACATATCCCACCTTGGCGATTGACATGGGCCTTGGTTGAGATATTGTCCATGAGGACCAGGACATGTCTGTTGACAACTGTGTCCTACAAATGAAAGAGGCCCAGTTGTATTGCTCGAAACTCCAACTAATTGATGGTGTGGTGCCACTTCCACTGAGACCAAAGGCCCTAGACCATCTCCGACCTCAGGTGTGCACCTCACCCGGACAGGCTGGCATCAGTGGTGATTGTTACCCATGGGGGGGGGGTAGGTCTTGGAATAATGATCTGTGAAGTTTTCAAAAGATGCCCTAAGTAAATTACAAGCTTCGCGACAAAGTTAAAAAGAAATCCAGTCATTTATTAGGAGCAACATTTTGGCATTTTCTTTTGCTGCGAAGCCAAATCTGATTTCTGTTTAATGGTGTCTGAACTTTACCCCTGTGTCTCCCCTCCCCTCAGTCTGTGTCATAAATCACATCCACCAATCAGGTGCTGCAGCAGGCTATGAACTTTCGCGCCTCACACGTCTGCTGTAGAAATATGATATCCAACTCTGGCTGAAGCTATGCGTGGAATTCTCCCTCCCTTCAATGTCAACTTGATAATAGTCATGGAAATGCTTTACAAGTTGACATTCGTCTCCCCTCACTTCCAGAAAGCGACCTGTGTGAAACAAAACAATTTGAGTACAGGTATATAATTTAAGGATGTGTTCCTCCCCCAAGCTTGCTTGGATTTTCTGCATGGAATTTTGCTATCAGGCAATCAGCCTGGATATTTCTACTTTTTATTTAAGATGCCTCTGATAAGGGGTAGCCCTTCCCCTTGATTAAGTATTGGAGTTGTCTCCTGTGCCACCTCGAATCAAGGACTCGTTGAACCTCATAATGGGTTTGTCCCCCCCTATGACCACAGGGTCCGGGGGCTCCTGGAGTAGTGGTCTCAGAGTGTATCCGATCATGGGTTTAAAGAGGCTACTGTGGAATGCCGAGTGTATCTTCCCCAGCAATCGAGGCAGTTTCAATTGCACTGTGACTGGGTTGATGATCTTTACTATGGGGAATGGTCCCATAAACTTTGGCCTCAGATTCTTGCTCGGGAGTTTTAATCTCGAATATTTTGTGGAGAGATAAACCTTCTCTTCCACTCGGAATGGCTGTTGTGGAGCCCCTGTATGTGTGTTTTTTTAAAAGTTTTATTGTTTTAATTAAACAAAAACACAAAAAAAGAATCGTCCTTCATTACATCTTGTAGAAAGCATGTCAATTGGTTACAAATGCATTTTGTGGGTTTCTTCCACAATCATTACATATACTTCATTCAAATTGAATTGTACATTTTAAATCAAATTTTTTTATGTATTTTACTATCACTGAACCACAATTCTCATTTAATTACAATTATTTAAACATGCTTTTATCTGAAATCATTTGTATTTAAAGACACAACCACCTACTGGCATTCATTCGCAATTTCAATAAACCTCCAATGACTTTGTGATGTTCCTGAGACCAGCAAGGCTTTATCTTCCTGTTCACCGTTTCTAGGGGATGGTTTAGGTCCTGCTGGACCGTTCAGTGGCTAAAGTGTCAACAGTGGTCTTGGACTGTCAAGACTGTATGTTGTGCTGTCGTGATGTTGGTTCCTCCTTCGAGCCCCTGTGTTTATCTGCCTGTTTCTT